ATCATATCCACAGTGACACAGCTACAGTGTCGGGAGTACAGGTGTCACTAACCTTAGCCTGATACAGTAAAACCTGGTGTAAGCCACCTCTAGGTTTAGCGGCCACCTGCTCTTAACGACCGTTTTTCCATGCACTGACAGTTTTACACAGACACTTGTGGGGCCTGGTTCTAAAGACCACCTGGCTTCAACGACAGCTTTTGCTTGCACCGTGGGGTGGTCGCTTAAACCAGGCTTTACTGTACATAGAAGCTAGACACTGTGAAAGTGGACATGATATTAAAGCAGCACCTAGGCTGCATTTATAAGATAGTTTTCAATCCGGGTCGAGTTTCAACCCACCATAAGCACAGATTGACTGGAGCTTTAACCCTTTGAGGACCGAGGACGAGTTGACTCCTCCTCAAAAAGTATTCTGTATTCCCGAGGACGAGTACTCGTCCAGTTGCGCTACACGAATACTAGTAGTGTGCGACTCATAGTACTTGTATGCTGTTGTAGATCACACAAATGACTTGAATACTTGCATGCAGCATCTTCGAGCTCGTGGGTGTCGATTCGCACGAAACTCACAGGTCTGCAAGGTGCTAGGAGGTCACACCCTTTGAACAAATAAAAAAGTCTAACTTTTTCAGTAGTTCCTCTTTTGAAATCAATCGTCGCGATCATGTCACGTCGTAATCTCTGACCTGTCTACCTTTCGGAGGCGCACAATACTATATTCATGGACAGCGAGAACGAGCCATTGGACTCGAGTGGCGATTCTGAAGACGGAAGTGACTCAGATATTTCTGAAATTGAAAGTAATGGTTCTGATGACGACGGCGCAGAGCAAGGCAATTTAGTTGCACCTGTCGGCACTGCCACCGCCACTGTTGCTATCGCCACTGTTGCTGATGCTGCTGCTGCTGCTGCTGCGCAGGACAACCAAGCTGAAGACAATGTTCTGGCTTACTCGTGCATGCACGGCATTGATAACACCGCACAAGATAATGATGCATGGACAAAACGTAATGACCAAAACCCAGCACCTGTATTTGGTGTACAGTCAGGGCTCGTCGACGCCGCACCGGACAATGCTGATGTCCAGTATGCTGTCGAGCTATTCCTCTCGAATGAATTCTTTGACCTCGTTGTTGAACAGACAATGAATGCTGACCAGTACACATCAACAACAAATCTGCCGGAGCACTCCTCCGCTCGAAAATGGAAACCAGTGACGCGTTCTGATATGAAAAGAATTGTTTGACTTTAATTGCTCTCCGGATTAGTGGAAAAGTCGAGGCTGAAGGAATTCTGGAGCACCGATTTCTTGGCTTCCACACCCGGATTTCCGGTCAGTTATGGGCCGCAACCGCTATGGTCGTGGTGGAGGGTCGGTTCCCCTGCCGTGATTAGTGCTGCACCGAGCTTGTTTTGTGTGAAAATATGTATTCTTATATTTATACTTCAAGTATTACAAAATAATTGAGAGGCTTTGAATCGTTTTTATCAAAATATTTGCCGGGTTGGAAGGTGGGAGTCATAATGCAGTTTCTCCATTTTATGGACAATACAACTGCGAACAAGGAGGATCGACTGTACAAGGTACGACCACTCATCGATCACTTCTTGGCGAAGTTCTGTTCTGTTCACAGACCGAGCCAACAGATTAGTATCGATGAAGAGCTTGTGAAATTCAAGGGCAGGGTGACTTTCCGCCAATACATACCAAGCAAACGCGCACGTTTTGGTCTGAAAATACACGCACTCTCAGTCTGCGACACAGTTGGTCATTTCTGTAACGCCATGGTGTACATTGGAAAAGGTCCGGCATTGCCACATACCGTTGAGGTCGGGGCCACCGGTGCCCTGGTCATTCATCTGCTTGGTGACCTAGTCAACAAAGGATACCAGCTGTTCATTCATAATTTTTCCACGTCGCTCCCGTTAGCACAGTACTCATTAGCCCGTCGCACAGCCGTGTGCGGAACGCTGCCAGCAAACCGTGCGGGTATTCCGCACCAACTGAAAAAATAATTTGGTGATGCCATCTTCAGTAGGTCCGTCAAATCTACCTCTCCTCTGATGAGTTCCCAACACCATAATGGAACAAAACAAGGCTTGTCAGGAACAACTTCTAGCTGTTGTGGAGTGTGACTGGTGCAGTGCTCGTGCTGGTGTCTGCAAGCGTCGTCTGGTCTCATCTGGTGAAAAAGGAAAATCTACAACTGAAAAAACCCAATGTACCCAAAGGACAATTTGCATTCCGGCGCAAAGGAAAGTTGGAGATTGTTAAGCTGCACAGCCATAAGGTGTTGTACCTCCTGTCGACCATGCATAACGTAGACACGGCACGGCACCAGAAAGCGCAATCGGCAAGGCCAGAGGATCCGGCGGCGATCCCTGACCCAAGATTACAACATCCATTATGGTTGGAGTCTACAGAAACGACGCCATGGTCTGTACTCACTCCGGGGTGAGTAAGTCGCTGAAGTGGTGTAAAAAGCTAGCTTTTCACTTCATTGAAGAGGTGGTGAAAAATGCATTCATCACGCATAACCCGATGATTTTTTTCTTTTCACAGCACTGTGCAGTGAGATTGTGATCACTTTTCGGATAACGGCCAAAAGGATTCATCTTGTGTGAAGTTGGTATCTAAATCCAAAATTGCCAGTTTCGAAATGGTTCTAGTCGGATTTTGAATGTGAAATTTTACCTGGTGGTGCACCTAGACCTTTTGATTAAACTGAGGGGAAAATATGATTTTCTCAAATTTGGCTCTTTTTCGGGTTTTGCATCTCAGCTCTTCAAAATGGACATGCCGGCATGACATACCTCATTGAACAGATCTCCTATCCACTTGGCCATCATCACGGTCAACATGATCGGCAGTCCGTAGGTGATGTCGCCCGTCGACTCCACGATGATGACGGTGAGAGAGATAGTCATGCGTACCACACCGCCTGCACAAACAGCACGACAGCACAACAGACAGCACACAGGAAAGCAGATTTCCAATACATGCTGTACAGAACTACAGCTTACCAGTGCTGTACTCAGAGAGAGAGAGAGTTGCGGCATCTCGTGAGAGTGCCTGTCGCACCTACAGTAGGTGCTGAACTTTAGACAAGTACAGTAAACCCTGTAACTAAAGACCACTGTGACTAGCGACCAGCCTGGTACTACAGTAAAACCTGTAACTAAAGACCACCGTGACTAGCGACCAGCCTGGTACTACAGTAAAACCTGTAACTAAAGACCACCGTGACTAGCGACCAGCCTGGTACTACAGTAAAACCTGTAACTAAAGACCACCGTGAGTAGCGACCAGCCTGGTACTACAGTAAAACCTGTAACTAAAGACCACTGTGACTAGCGACCAGCCTGGTACTACAGTAAAACCTGTAACTAAAGACCACCGTGACTAGCGACCAGCCTGGTACTACAGTAAAACCTGTAACTAAAGACCACCGTGACTAGCGACCAGCCTGGTACTACAGTAAAACCTGTAACTAAAGACCACCGTGACTAGCGACCAGCCTGGTACTACAGTAAAACCTGTAACTAAAGACCACCGTGACTAGCGACCAGCCTGGTACTACAGTAAAACCTGTAACTAAAGACCACCGTGAGTAGCGACCAGCCTGGTACTACAGTAAAACCTGTAACTAAAGACCACCGTGACTAGCAACCAGCCTGGTACTACAGTAAAACCTGTAACTAAAGACCACCTTGACTAGCGACCAGCCTGGTACTACAGTAAAACCTGTAACTAAAGACCACCTTGACTAGCGACCAGCCTGGTACTACAGTAAAACCTGTAACTAAAGACCACCGTGACTAGCGACCAGCCTGGTACTACAGTAAAACTTGTAACTAAAGACCACCGTGACTAGCGACCAGCCTGGTACTACAGTAAAACCTGTAACTAAAGACCACCGTGACTAGCGACCAGCCTGGTACTACAGTAAAACCTGTAACTAAAGACCACCGTGACTAGCGACCAGCCTGGTACTACAGACCACTTCGCCAGGCACGGACGGTCTCACATTCATTATGGTTGTGCGGAGCAAACCTCTAACTAAGGACCATATGTCACTAAAGACTACTTTCTCTGGCCCCAAGGGATGGTCGTTAGTCACAGGTTTTACTGTACAGAGAGGGAAACCATGTGCTGTTGCCGTTACTCGGTGTTTCATGCGTTAGTGATCATGAGAGAGTACAGTAGGGAGAAAAGAAAAGGGACACTGAGTCGGGCCTTGGGAGCGGGGAACCACTAGAGGTAAAGAAATAATCACACCAGAATACGCCATAACTCTATGAGGCTGCGGCCATGCACTCACCGAACAATTGCTCACAATCTAAGAAACAATACAATACTCCTAATCAGTCACGAGTGCGTAATCACTAGCTCAACAACAAATTGCATGAATGAGAAAACAGCCACGTAATACCCACGGCTTCGTACAATACACAGCACGGCATATCCAAAACGCAGTTGTGAGAGCGGAAGTAGGTTTAGGTTTTCAACGTTGCGAACCCCTTCATTCTTTGAATGAATAATGCCCAAACCTCTTGTACGGGCAAAATTAACACAATGAATTCTTGTGATGAAGGAAACATTTTAGTACGAGTCATGCTCATTACTAGAATGGATGGCAGTTTCAAAGTACAGTAAAACCTGGTGTAAGCGACCTCTCGTTTTAGCGACCACCTGCTCTTAACGACCGTTTTTCCATGCACGGATAGTTCTACACAGAAACTGTGGGACCTGGTTCTAAAGACCACCTGGCTTTAACGACCGCTTTTGCTTGGACCGTGGGGTGGTTGCATAAACCAGGCTTTACTGTGGAATGTTTGTACTTGAATTTAGTGTAGAAGATGATCGTTATCATCATGACCAGCAGCAACAACAACAACAACAGCAGCATACCTAGTGTGGCTGCCGCTCCAATCAAAGCGTACTTTCCGGGCTCAACGAAGAACTGCAGTTTCAAAACAGCACATAGCGGATCATGAGCGCAGAACCATGTACGTACAGATGCGTACATCATGCACACACACGAATGCTCACATTCATGTGCAGACATACACACACACATACACACATGCATGAATGCACGTACACGCATACACATACACACAGGAGTAACGAGATCAAAAGCATGCACACGGAGAAATGCACACACAGAGTCAAAATCAATTTTAGGAGAAATATTGGCATTGCAGGACCGGCACAAGCAGTTACCGAATGGTCCAGCCATATCACACAGACTTTCATACATTGTGCATGATCCAGCGGGGACACATGAACTCCCCAGAAATAAACACACATACACATGGGGTGAACAGTGGGTCGCCTGTGGCCTGACCAACCATACCAGGTTTACCGCCCCTGCGTGGGACTGACCGACACGGTCAGCCATTGCTGCAAACTGTCAGTGGACAGAACACCTCCACTCATGAATGTCTCATCAGCAAAGGATCAAGCCTCCAAACCATCTCTACACTGTTGCTCTTCTTCTTCTATTCTTCCTTATCTCTCTCTGGTATTCGCATTCCTGTAATTGGGCATACTTGCCCGTTTAAATTGCGAATTAAACTCAACACAACAACCATCAATGTTTATCTATGGGGGAGGGGGGGGGGGAGGAGGTGCAAGGACAGGGGGGAAGAACACGGGAGGAGTTAAGAAGGAGCATCCGTTTATCTCACCTTTGGAGCAAGGGCATTGAGCCCGATGCCTACACCGCGGCCCCAGGCAGCACCCAGGAGAATGCACGGTACAAAGAGACCACTGGGAATGCCGAGACCGTACGTCCAACACGCCAGGATGAAGAAGATACCGGCAAAGATGAACACTGTCGATGCACTTATCACCGCTGTACAAGACAGCAAGAATAAATCGATGCTCTGATAAGATAGAAATAGAATTGAATGCTGGTTATAGTATCCACAATAAAAAGAGAAGAGATGACATTGAAACGAGTTATGAAGCAACTATCCACGACTGTAACAAGATAATAAGCAGTCAGAAAGGTAGTCGAGGATAGTTGCTTCATAACTCGTTTCCATGTGATTTCTTCTATTTTACTTATAATACTGGCTCAGTATCCGCATGCACAATTCTCAGTTCTTTACCCATTTTGGGGATCCTGATGCATGAACACTAACACATCCACGAATGCACATTTGTGCGTACGTGCATGCATACACACATGCGAGCGCATGCGTGCAGGAACACACACAAACAACCATGTGCACACTTACACACACACACACACACACACACACACACACACGTACACACACACACACACACACGCGCACACACACACACACACAAACAACTTCCTTCTGAGTCACGGCACCAGAGCAGCACAAGCCCGCACAGCACACCCGTACACCATCACAACAAAAATAACACCAGACACAACAACTATCTGTGGTACGTACCCGGTGGAGCATGGAAGAGAGTTTTGACGGCTTCTTCGGGTACAGAAAACACCATTGTAGCCATTGAGTGGAACTGACCATCCGAACAGAACACCTGCACACAAGAAAGACATGGGTCACAGCCAGCTAAAACATGTCCGAGGGTGAAACAATGTATTCCAGAAAAATTTCCCTTTGCTTGCCAGCTGCTTGGACTAGAAAAATAAGTGTGAGAAGTGTGAGAACGAAGCTAGACAAGATGCTCATGCCACTGGTTGATGAATGAAACACAGCATGAATGTGCTTAACAGAAACAATTCTTCATTCCGTCAGGTCTCAACAAATTTACAAAACCCCAAAGAAGGCAACCAACGGTTACATACTGTAAGCTACCTAACATCTGCGACGTACTCAAGTTCACGATTTTTGGAAGAGGAGCAGAACACTAAATATTAATCAAAGGCTAAAGTGCGTTATCATACTTGCCAACCCTACCTGATTTTCCAGAAAAACTCGTTTTCATCATGGTATATTTGAAAAACTGAATCTACTGTATTTTCGAAAGAATATCCACCAGCACCTTTTTCTGGATCGTCAATGCTTTTTAAGCGAGCAAGAACTACTTGAGTTAGCACTAGGACAAGTTCATTTTCCTCGTACTGCTCCGTTTGCGAATGTTTCGTGATCATGATGACGTCACTATGGTGTCATACGTACCGTATTTCCACGCATATAAAGCCATGGCGTTATATCCGAATATAAGGCCGCCCTCACTAATAAAGCCATGGCGTTATAAGTGAACAAAATTCAATGTGGAGGAAGTAGCATCTGGCGTTAAAGGTGAGTTCAATTCTTTCAGTGAACCTACAGCAGCGGTGATTCTCCCTGCATGTACCCATCCCCACTGTCACATGCCATACCGCCACCACACCTTCACACAAGTGTGTATGCCACCTTGTACACAATAGGTTCACAATTTGAAATTTTCAGGGAAAATTGAAAGTACATGGATGCTCGACATGAAAGTGCAACGGCACCATACGAGTACTCGAAGTTCATACTCTGTCGTTTTTTGCATGTACGCGTCTCTCACTTTTAGCGCCATGGCGTTAAAACAGCGGCTATTTTCTCCAAAGATTGGGTCCAAAACAGCTATAACGCCATGGTTTTATATGCGCGGAAATACGGTATAATATTATACTACAATTTGCACAGTGTTTGGCGTAAAAATCAAGGAAACATGCGTACAATCAAGGAAAATCCTTTTCAGTGTCAAGGAAACGGCTTGCCTGTGGTTGGCAAGTACAGTCAACTTCGCTAATAACGACTGCGGGTATAACAACAGAATTTCCATGCCCAGAGCAAAGTCCCATCTAACTGTAATACATATAATGAGACTTCGGGTATAGAGGTTATGCGAATGACGTCACGAGGAGCGCCAAGGCGGCTGCGAGTGGCAGGGGTGGCAAAATGAAGTCGTTTCTGCTTGAACTATTTTTTACTAGTCTTTGAGAGGAAAAGTAAAATTTGTTGTTGGTTGTCGACATATCGTTCCTCACTTTATTTCCGCTGGTGTCTCGCTTGCTGAAGTTTTTAGCCTTCAACATGCCGAAGAGTTGTGCAGCCGTCGGATGTAGCAATCGTGCCGATCCTGGAACGGCTGTGAAGTTTTACAAGTTTCCTGTAGCGGACGAGCGGCGCAAACTATGGGTTGCGGCTATGAGACGAGAGAATTGGAAGCCAACTGACAGTAGCAGGATCTGTTCAGACCATTTCGTAGGCGCAGAGAAGAGCAACGATCCACTATCTCCCGCTTACGTTCCGAAACTTTTTGAACATGTCAGGACTCCTGTAAAGCGTAAAGCGGAGAGGGATTTGGTGGCATATGAACGCCGAGCGAAGCGGAAGCTGACGTTCGAGGAGAGCAAGACGCAGACACCAGTGAAAGTGGACGCCTCCGGGAATGACTTCACAGAGGCAATGGCAGATTTGCCTGGTGCCTATGGTGCAGAGGTAGAGTCTGATCCTGTAGCAGTCTCCAGTGTCTCATCGCAGACTGACATGGATATGGAGCACTTGACGCGGCTGGAGGAGACAAACAACTGTTTGGTCCTGGAAAGCAAACGGATGCCACACGCTCCAGGACAAGGTGACACCTTGTCAATCGAGTCGTTTGAGAAAGACAACGCGAAGGTGCTCTTCTACACTGGTTTGCAGTCTTTTGGGACCATGATGGGCATATTTGAACACGTGAGGAAGAGAGTTCCACAGCACCACCGCCACACGCTCTCTCTCTTCCAGCAGTTCTTGATTGTTCTCATGAAGCTTCGGCTGAATTGTCGGGACCAAGACTTGGCGTACAGATTCGGCATTCACCAGTCGACCGTGTGCCGGATTTTCCAGCGCTGGATCCGGGTGATGCATGTGATGCTGGGACCACTTGTCAAATGGCCGGAAAGGGACGAACTACGCAAAACTCTGCCACTTGAATTTCGTAAGCATTTCCCGGGCTGTGCTGTCATTATTGACTGCTTTGAAGTTTTTTGTGAACGACCTTCTGATCTGATGGCAAGAGCTCAAACGTACTCTCACTATAAAAGCCATAACACTGCAAAGTTTTTGATTGGCGTAGCGCCACAAGGTGTCATTACATTTATTTCGCATGCATGGGGCGGGAGAGCCTCAGACAAGTTCATCACAGAGCACTGCGGTCTGCTTAGTCACCTAAATCCGGGTGACCAGGTGCTGGCTGACCGTGGTTTCACTGTTGAAGACAGCGTTGGCATGTTCTGCGCAGAGTTGGTGATGCCCCCATTTACGAAGGGGAAGAAGCAACTCTCCAGGCTGAAATTGGACAGTGCTCGACAAGTGTCACGCGTCCGTATCCATGTGGAGCGAGTGATTGGAATGCTTCGCCAGAAATACACGATCCTCTCTGGCACTTTGCCCATTGCTTTCCTCATGCATGACGATAAAGCTACATCATGTGCATTCATTGACAAGGTTGTCACCGTCTGCTGTGCTCTGTGCAACTGTTGTGAGTCCGTCGTACCTTTCGAGTAAATTACATCATGCCGCTTTGTCAGCTGTAATGATTGCTATATTATTATTATATTATTCAAATTTATTATTAACCCTTTGTGCTTTTTGGACTGTCTGGATATACCGGCAATTATATTTCTGTTTTACCTATTCTGCAGTTGCATGCGCATGTGTTCACCTCATTGACCTCGCTTGTTTCTAGTTTCTTTTGTCTGGCTAGCCAAGCTTGCTTGGTCATGGCAACGCCAACAGACTTATAATAATAGTAATAATACTGGCTTCTATCATCACTCACGACATGCCTCCGTTTCTTGTTGCATCAATATAATGACTCCTGGTCCAAATAGGGACAACACAATATAATAATTATGAATAGCCCTGAAACCCAACTTAGGGTGCTGGGTAGTGCGCGATGTACCATCAGAATAATTTTATGTAGTATGCCCAGCACCAAAGAACAACTCAACTTATGCCAACATCACCCGGAAGAGACGTAAAGAGCGAAGTGTTTGATGTGTAATGATGGAGTTCCTCTGTTCACATGCATAAGCAGTGAGTGGTCTTCACGCATGTCCTGGGACCCACAAATACGAATCAGCATTATGGTCCTTCAGAGATACATGCAAGCAAAGAAATACAAGAAAGGTAACGGAAATCGTTGTGAAAGCCCAGCCACCGATTGTATGCACACACGTGGCAAGTGCAACAGCAAGTACCGTGGAAGGCACAGCAGAACAAGTTGAAAATGCAACTCTAGAAATACCAGAATAGCAGGATCACTTCTCAAATGCTTGAAACTTGGATTTACAAATGCTACGACAAAAATGACTATGTACATGGAAAGTTGGTTGCACCCCATACTAGAGGTCGAGCTTTTCTGCCGCCTTGACTGGACATTTGACTGACTCACGACTGCCATTCAGAAACTTGACAAACTCACGACTTCCATCCAGACACTTGACTGACTCACAACTGCCATCTAGAGCAGAGAAGAAGTCCCTCGAGCCCTCCTTCCGGCAAACCTGCAAGAAAGCACCACTCCCTGCTCAATACACAGTGTTTCGGGGAATTCACCCCTCATGCAGTTGAGCTTGAGTAGGCTGACGAACGTTGTACTTAGCGACCAACATTCCTATAAACTTGTCGCCGAAGTCGCTACCACTGTAATTGTACATGCATATCATTATTTAGTGGCAGATTTAATCTTGCGACACTCCGGGCAGGTCCAGTTCTTGCGCTTTGGCTTACTCTTCAGCTGCAAACAAGCCATGTGGAACAAACGAATACTGCAATCGTTGTTGGAACATCGCAGTACCTCGCCAGCCTTCACAGACTTGCAGTAGCAAAACTCCGGAGGGCGTTCTTGATCCGCAGTAGATGTTGTACTGGCAGCACCAAGTGGTTCCGAGGCTGATGTAGCCGCTGAAGACGCATCGGCAGGAAGAGTGGAGAACGTCTTAGTGAACCATTTCCCAACAAGCTCTGGGAGAACAGCACACTGGAAGAATTTCTTGGCACCTGCTACCGCTTCACGGATGAAATCTGTGTCTGCACAGATACGCTCCACAAACAGCTGACCTTCATTCCACACAACAAAGTCACAGTACTGCACCTTACACACCAGCATCTGTAGCTGTACTTGGTAGTAGTACATGTGGTCTTGCTTAAGATGGAGTGCTCCGCCGGACTTTACTAGACAGAACTTCCCTGAATCGGCAGCATCATGCAGGCTACTGTCTCGGCACCCGTACGGGCACTTCACTTCCACCACGCCGTTGCCACAGCAGGAGCACTGCACAAGGGAGTCGGGAGTAGCGCCAAGATATGGATAGTCCGGATGAATTACAAAGCCACTGGGCAGTACTTCAACCTTCTGATGTGTTGCACTGGCATGTTCACTATAGTTGTCAATTGCCTTCTGCTCGTGATCACATCCCCATTGTGTGGCTTTGCTACGAAACTTGTGTGCCTCAGGGTAACACACAGAGCGGACTAAGGACGCAGAGGGCTGGCTAATATCCGTACGAACAGCAGACTTCAACTTTGAAGCTGTGATCCGGCCGGCGCGAAATTCAAACCAGGCCTTGGAATCTGCCTGGTTCCGCGTAGCCTGTTCCACAGCGCGTGCTTCCTCCTCTGAAACACAGACCGCTGGAAATACTGCCTCGCAACGAACGAGCAGGTCCCCAAAACTAGCATCCAGCATGTCTGGTTCGTACAATAAATCCAAAATGGGTGGATATCCCTCCGGCTTGGAAGGTACGTACCTATCGCAGAACTCGGGAACAAGGGAGAGCAATGACGGTTTACCGGCTTGACATAAATTTCCATATATTTCACCCAGCTCAGCACTGGAGGGTTGCTTAATATCAGCAGGGACCTTCTCCTCCGACCTACGGCGCTTGCTCCCATGCTGTTTAGTGTCGGGTGCAGTGAAGTTTATGTCACGAATCCTGGCATACTCCACCTCCTTCATTGAAGGAGTTGACCATTGGCACGGCAATGAAGTGCTTCCTGTGTTCTGAATCAGCTGCGTTCTAGAATACAGGCTGAACAACAGTGCAGCAACGTGAGAACAAGACTCACCAAGACCAGCCATGCAGGTGCAGTGTGCACAAATCACGCTACCGTCGTTTTGCGCAGCAATCCAGGGTTGCAGATGGGTGCCGGAAACTGACTGGGAATGGCGGACTTTGGCGATGACAAACTTGCTGTCACATGTGTCAGATTCGGACGCTGGAAACGCACGAACATCGCCGACCCAGCCACTGACAAGGTATTTGTAGCCTTCCAAGCTCTTGTAGGCCTTGAGCTGCTCCTTGATGTAGGGGCTGGGCGCGTTGACCAAGAAATTGTAAATATCGGGATAGTCCACAAGTGGAAATTTATCTTCCTCTAAAAAAATACTTCTGGGCAGGTAAGGATCACTCGAGTCTGGTGAAACGCGCTCGAGCTTTTCACGGTACCGGCATTTGCTGGAGTCATCTAACTCGTCATACACTTTTGAAAACTTGGGAGAAGTCATGGCCACTGATTCAGCGTTCGTACAATAGTCCTTTGTAAAGAACAGAAGAGGAACGTAACAGCGATACAGGAAATTTCCTTCGTGAAATTATTCCAGGCACATGTACTTCTTTTGAACTTTTCATCTCTTTTGCCACCCCTGCGGAGCGCGGCCGCTTTGGCCGCCTACACGCCGCCTGCACGTGATCCTTTCGCATAACCTCTATAAGGACACTTCGCGAATAAGGACACTTTACTGATGCCCCGCCGAGTGTCGTTATACGCAAAGTTGACTGTATGCATGATCGAGGGCTTACTTGTGGTTTCTTGTCTTCTGTCTGATACTGGCCATTGTAATGACACTCGTCGGTGTACAGAACGGCAACGAAGAGTGCAGTGGTGACCACCGCCGCTACGACCAGCGGCTCGAGAAAGCGCTTCCAGCGTTTGTCCACGTAGCTAAGCACACACAGAACACACAAGTACAGCTGAATAACATAACTTTTAACAGTTGTCTCTCGTTGACACAACACTTTAGAATCCGGCGCCCTCCGTATAAACCAGCACAACTGGACTTCACAGCTTGAATGGACTGATGTTTCAGCTATCACTGTTTTTGAAATGCAACTCCTTGACCCAACCACCCATAAACAGAACTTTTATCGATACCGTAAAAGATCGTAAACGATCGATAATTCGGATGGCTCCGTAGTGCATTGCAGTCAGAGATGGTTGCGGCGGCAGCATTGTTCACATACGTTCTCCTGTAGATGCTGAGATGGTAGTTGATCTTGTTGAACAGTGCTCCCACCAATCCACCTGCGCAGTATTGACAAGAGGGCAGTCGATTGATCAGACAGCAGGCTTGGTTTGAGCCAACTTCACACAGCAGATCAGATGCTGTACACGATAATGTAGTTTTCAGTACACGGCAATCCGAATGGATGGGGCTTTACAATAATATGATGGGTGGTTGAGGTGTTTGGAGGGAGGAAGATTTATGTAGAAGATAGTAAAGTCGATACCAAACACCGCTATCAGCAATACACAATATCATAGCTTTATCAGCCCGCTGACTTACCAATAGCTCCCATGACGAGGAAAATCACCAGCTCATATCCAAAGTAGGGTTTTCCCTGCAGCACAACATCACCATGACATAATCATGACATAATCATGACACAGAATATGACACAATCATGACGCATACATCACACGCACACAACGTACGACTAATGACCCGTAGAGTAAAGTTGGGTTTTAGCGGCAACACCGCCCGGGGAAACCTGAAATTTCGTCCACGCATAGCGGAGATCCTGCCGCGTCCACCAGTGTACCATGTGCCCCTGGTCTCTATGCGAAAATTAGGGCTGAAACGATTCTACCGATTACTCAGTAATTGCTCGTTAGAAAAGATATCGAATAAGGATTTAGGAAAGGATCGTTGTCGAGGAAAGACTGACAACGACAGAAACTACTCCAATCGAGAGTTAGTATGGCCAAGAATACACTCAAGTGACACAGATGTTTGGCTGTTGTCGGCTCAAGGCCTTCTGCTAGGATGGTAGAACACAGATATGCCAAGAATACGCTCAAGTGACAAACATGTTTGGCTGTTGTCGGCTCGAGGCTTTCTGCTATGATGATAGAACCTGGATATGTTTTGTTTTATTGACTGTCTCCCTCTACAAAAATCTAAGCACACAGTGCCATACACCCAGATGTATACATGTACAGAGTACTCACTGGAGCTATCACTTGCAGAAATCATATTCACGCAATCCATAGTAAAATTGTTAATCCAATTTCAAAAAGAAAAGAAAAATGATCCCGTGCCATGATTTTGTCGAGTGTGCTATATGGAGAGAAATTATGTCGCCAAGCCGATAAGCCGATCGTTATGATATCAGCAAAGCCGCTAAGGAAATACTACGATCGTTTCAGCCCTAGCGAAAATAGTTCAGTTTTGAACGAGGAAGTCAAGCAAACAGGGACAAGCGCAGTGGCAAGAAATTTGTCAGACGAGGAAGCACTTGGAGGTGTCTTTGCTGAAAGCGAAATCAGTGCTGGTTAGCTTTCCGCCGGTACAAAGCTCTTCTGGCATTTCTGAACGTTGTCGACGGAAGCAAGGGAAGATCCAGCGGCAGCCAACAAGCTACGTACAGTATGACTACCGAATGACCATAATATGCTGGGGAAGTGCTGAGGGCTGTGGCAGCTGTACCAGCATATCTCTCTTGACGAGCCGATGGTGAAAAGCAAGGCAGGCTTTCCGTACAAGCAGTATATAAACCGAATGACCATAATATGCTGGAGGAGTGCTGAGGGCTGTGGCAGCCGTACCAGCATATCTCTCCTGACGAGCCAATGGTGAAAAGCAAGGCAGGCTTTCCGTACAAGCAGTATATAAACCGAATGACCATAATACGCTGGAGAAGTGCCGAGGGCTGTGGGAACCGTACCAGCATATCTCTACTGACGAGCCGACGGTGAAAAGCCAGGCGGGCTTTCCGTACAAGCAGTATAGAAAGAACAAGCCGGGAAAGTCTGGATTCAAGATACTTGCTGTGTGTGATTCTGTTCGAAGTTTCTTGGCCGATGTCCGCATGTATACTGGGTGTGCTCAACACGACTCCAGAGCATGGCTTGGCTCACAACATTGTCGTTAGTTTGATCGCACCGTATATGCAGCAGGGATATAGGCCATACATGGACAGTTTTTTATACTTCTCTAAATTTGTACAAGGAGCTGAGAGACGCACACACGTGTATTGCTGTTGGTACCTGTCAGGCAAACCTAAAGGGGTTTCCTCAAGCGAAGGGAAAGATGTGAAAACCGTTCAATATGTTGCACAGCGAGGAGAGATGACGTTGGCACGGATAGCATATTCCCTGCAAGCTGGTCTCTTCTTCTGAACGACTTCGCTTTCCGTTATGTTTTGGCCGATTTGGCCTCGAGATATACACAGAGCTAGAATGCAAACCCCGCTAAATCTATTTTGTCACTTTTCGGATAATGGCCAAAAATGGATTCATCTTATGTATGTGCGGTTGGCAGGGGCGTCGCACACAGTGCGGTCACTACGGTATTGACCGTATCACTATTTGCCCCAAGTAGCCCCGTGATTCAATAAAAAATTAAAAATGCACTGATTTGGGCTCTAAATTTCCCAAATTTTCGGCTCGGCCACCCCTCCCCCACGAGTAAATTGTACTTCAGATGGCTGATCGTACCACACTAAAATACCTTCCGACGCCCCTGTGTTGGTATCTAAACCCAAATCTGGGTTCCAGTTTTGAAATGGTTCTAGTCGGATTTTGAAGGTGAACATTTGCCTGGTGGTGCCTCTCGGCCTTTTGATTACACCGAGCTGAAAATCAGATTTTCTCAAATCTGGCGCTTATCGGTGGGTTTTGCATCTCGGCTCTTCACATGCAGTGTCCTCTCTAGGATCTCCAACCAGCCACTTACAAGTACACGTACAGTCATACCGGGGTACCGGGGTAGCGGGGACATGCAAGTGTGGCTACAGCATGTACAATTTAAAGCCTGTACTAAAGAGCACCGTGACTAACGACACCAGCCTGGTACTACAGACCACTTTGCCAGGCACGGACGGTCTCACATTCATAATATGGTCGTGCGGTGGAAACCTCTAACTAAGGACCACCTGCCACTAAACACCGCTTTCTCTGGCCCCAAGGGGTGGTTGTTAGTCACAGGTTTTACTCTACCTGAACATCAGTGAGTCATACACTGAGTAAGACCCATAAAGGGGGGGGGGGGGGGTTAAGTCACTGGTTGGGTCACGTGAACTCACGGCAAACGTTCCAAAGTCCAGCAGACCGTTGTAGGACAGATCGCCGACATGGCCGTGATACGCCGACAAGATGATATTGAGAGTGAACACTGCCGTCATCGACGCAAAGAACTGAACAGAACCACAACACAAAATACACAATACTGGTCACACCTCGCTAGAACAAAAACCTCGCTATAACAAAAACCTCACTATAACAAAACCTCGCTATAACAAAAACCTCACTATAACAAAAAAACTCCGCGATAACAGAAACCTCACTATAACGACCCTCGCTATAGCAAGAACCTCACTATAACGTACAACATGCAAATGTCCCTGCCGAAACCGCATAACTTCTGGACACAGTTTCCCCGCTATGACATGATCTGCCATAGCGTAATGTTCGCTATCATCGGGTTGAAGGGTCATGAATTCTATCACGCAGCAGTGGGCTATAATGGCAGTGCTTACCATGCGCCAAGTCAACGACTGGTTCCAGAAACTAGCGCCTTCCTCCAGGGAGAACAGAACACCGCCTGTGCACACAGCACACGGCAAGGAGAAAGAGCAAAGGAGGAAGATTGACATTTTAGACAACAATGGCCGTCGCTGGATGGTCGAAATATCGAGAAGCATCATTGGTACGCTATCGCTACCCCATGGTCAGAGAGTGTGCAAGATGGGCTGGACAAAAGCACAATGCAGTGGCGGTGGGGGCGATGGCAGTGATGGTATATTTATACCAGCTAGGATGTGCACCATGATGTATATGCACACAGACACACACAGGTGTTCATCAATGTTGTATACATGGATGAATGACTCCCCCTGCACACACACACACACACACGCGCATGCATACACACGTACACACGTACACACACAAGTACACATACACACACAAGTACACATACACACACACACACACACACACACACACACACACACGCGCACGCATCTGCAGTGGCTTACCGACAGGAGCACCGAATGCAGCGGCCACCCCGGCCGCAGCCCCACCGGACACAAAGTCACGTTTCTCGTGATCCAGCCGAAACTGCTGAAAGAGCTATGCATAACCAGGGAAGAATCACAACATAAAAGAAAACAAGTGAGTTTCGAAGTCTGAAGAAAATGTTGAACGGTTTCTGCTTGGATGATAGCTACACCATACAATAGCTCAGTGGTTAACATGGGGATGCAGCTCTAACCCCAGTCACACCTCCTGGTCCAGATATCAATCTGCCTGGAAATACGGCGCAGTTTTCCGACATCGAGGTGGACATGTGATGAAGAGGAGCGGTGCTGTTAACGTACATCGCAGTTCGCCGCGCAGCGCAGCACTGTTGGCCGAGTTCAAAGTACTAAGAGCTCAAAAACGTCATCACTAACGTTGAAGTCCATCTTGACAAACTCCGAGCGTCCTTGAGATATTCCAGCTGCCACCACAGCACCAGAGTGGATCATGGGACCTTCCTGTGTTCGGAACATGTATGCACGCACGCACACACACACACACACACACACGCACACACACAAACACACACACAAAGAATTAGGATCTAGCACCTCGCACCAAAGAAACGCCAAATTTCGAAAGTTTGTTTCAGGGAAATCCCTCTTTTTCCAATTCCCTTTGCTCGCCATCAGCTCGGTCCATTTTAGTTTTTCCCAATAGGGCACTTCCACAGCATGCATGATCAGTTTTCTCTGCTGAGCAGAACACAAAGCTCCACGTGCCCACTTCCTCGTTTCTTTGAACGGTGCTGCCTCAGTGGGCAGTTGTACGAGTGTATGCCGAGAACTCCCCTTTTCCTCTGACACACCAATGAATCCGACAGTGGCATGGACGGCTGCATTGTCAGATCAGCCAGTCCCTGGTAGTGAGCAGATGACGGCTCTTCTTGCGTCAGCGGTTATCTGCACTCCCATTATCGGCAGCTATACTCCCGATATCGTGGTGGCTGGCATGTTGCTCGTAACATCATTTCCCTCGCCACTACTTACAGCAATGTCAGAATGTTCTTCAGCTGCTGCTGCTCTGAGTTTCATAGCACATACCGTATTTTCCCGATTATAAGTCGTACTTGATTACAAGTCGCAGGCCATTCTCACGTCCGAACAAAATCGTCTCAATGTATTCACATAAGTAAGAAGTCACACTCGATTGTAAGTTTAGTGCAAAAAGGTGCGACTTACAATCGGGGAAATACGGTACCAATTGCCGGGCATCCAAAACAGGCGAGAAGGTTAACACCTTTCTGTGGAAAAGTTCAAATGTAGTCAGGATATTTTCTTTTTTCTCTCTCTCCCTCACACCCACACACTCTTTCTAATTCTTACCTTTCCAACTGGCATCCCTCCAGCAACGGAGAACACAATCCCAACGGCTTTGCAGAACAGTGTCTGTGTGAGTACACAGCACACACACCCACACAGCACACAAACACACACACACACACACACACACACACACACACACACGCACACAAGCAATGATAGAACAGAGGAGTCTTTGAGATGCCCGTGCATCTGGAGGTTTATTTGACATGCGCTGATCGAACTGCTTAGTGGAAAAACTGTGACATAACACTGAGTTGCCACCTTTAAAGTACAGATATCTGCAATGACATCAGTAACACATGCAATGTTTAGCTTAGAACGGATAGTGGTGGATCCAGCATGTCAACTAATGTCCACTGAGGAGACGGCACACACACACACACACACACACACACACACACACACACACACGCTCAGGATGAGCATTCAAGATTTAGCACGACCTAATCATCGGCCAGCTCTGACAATAAACACACTTCGAAGTTCATACACCCACTTGAGAGGAATCAAAAGCGTTTCTGCTGTAACTCTGAGTGTAACCGTTTTAACCGATCATCAGACAGCAACTCGAAGGTCATATGTGCGTGAGCCAGAGTACCTGCTCCACGTCTCTAGGAAACTCACCTTAAACCGAACAACGTGCGGTATCTTGACACCATTCAAGAAGCATTTGATTTCAGGTATACCGCTGCCTGCAGCGACAGGCTGCATATGAACAGATAGAAGGATCGAGAGCAGGAGAAAGAAAATATAAGGGTTTGTGTACGCGTAGCTTGTTACGTGTGTGTGTGCGAGGGGGGGGGGGGGGATCAAACTACAGAGTAAAATTAAAACTCATACCAGGGTCCTTGCGGTCATGTTATGTACATGTACATGCCAGTGAGAGAGAGAGAGGAAGGAGGGGGGGGGGGAAGGAGGGGGCGGGGCTTCATTTTCATGGTGCCACCAAGCAATGGTGCTCCGGTTCTCGTTTCGCTTTCGAAGCAAATGAAGACTAAAAACACTAACATCCTCGCTTGAGACACGAGATAAAATTAATGTGGGTAGGAAGGGGAGAAAAGCAACAATCTCATAAAGAAGAGGTTGCCAGACCCCACAGCTCTTGCAGCCAGAACTGAGCTTCACATTCATCATATTCAGTGCAGCTATGAACCACGCAAGAAGAACACCTTACCTCAAAGTACACAACCAGGCATGTGGCAATGCTGACGAAGGCCAGATTGAATCCCAGGTCCACCAGCAGGGTGTGGTGCAGACAGTCATTGCGCACACAATGGTCCAGAGCTGACGACACGCCGTCAAGAGTGCTAGAGTCAAGGAATAACTACAACAGTGCCTGTATCCACAATGTGGACTGACTTACAAGAACTTACAAGAACTTCAAATGCATCAGAGCAAAGCGTCTACAGTGTTGCTCAATGAAATCCAGTCGAGTCACTCAAGAGAGCGCCGGACGTTGCGCAGCCCTAGAGCTGGGAACACTGGGCTGCGAAATGGTGCAAGGCGCAAAATTTCCTTCATTTTTTCTTCTCTTGCCATGGCTGGCTAACGCCCCCTCCTTTGCATTGGCTTCTGCCATTGGACGGTGAAATAATAATACAAAAGAAGTTGACTCCCGCGACTGCGTGTCCTTGAGCAGCACTGTAAATCACCAATGTATATATGCTGAGTGCAACTATGCATAATCTTCCCGCGGTGTTTTGTGTGCGGGGATACTGTGGCTCGTTCTAGTACTTCCCATGGAGTGAATGACATCGCCCTACAACGTTTGCAAGATCAGGTCGACCAGTACTTGTCATGCCAGCCTAACAAAACACCTCAAATGATACTGTCATCACGTAACTATCCCCCTGCGATGCTTCCATCCGCGACGATGCAGCAGCTCATGACAGATTTATTCTGTATCTATAGGGCAGTCCCCATAGACTTACGGTCTCCTTACAGGGTATCCTAGTCTATTGGGGATTGCGATAGGACATTTACTTGGTGAAGTACCAAGGATTTAGGTTAGGACAGACAAATGCTCATACAAACACATGCACACAGCACACTGATGCAGAAGCACACACCCCACAACACCGGCGCAGGTGAAAGGATACATTGCAGTACGTATTTGAACTTGACCGAAGACAGGTGGTCGATGCAGACGTCAATGGAAATGGCGATCAGAGCTGTGATTAGGCCGACCAAGCACATCACCACCCATCTCAGCAGATAGACCTTGGTTCGCCGCTGCAAAATGCACATACACATACACACACACACACACACACACACACACACAACACACACACACACACACGCGCGCACGTATTTTGCCCATGCACGCACACACAAACATCAAAATTAAAAGACTTTCACTGTCCACTTCAGACAGACAGCAGCCAACAGACAATTTGCCATTGACCATCAAATGGGTAAACAGCTGACTAACACTCTGAGCGATGGAAAGCATTGTTCACACATTACCATCACCTACCCGATTCCGTTCGGCTGCCAGCAGGCAGGTTGAAGCCCAATATACACCAACTATAAACAGGAGCAGCTGCGTTAGTCTGTGCATTGAACTTGTACCACAGATCGTTATCACTGCACACGCAAACTGGTACAGAACAGTTACGTACAGCTAGTGCCAGTTTTACTTAAATCAAGTTTACGGTTCGCGAGAGACTCGGTCAGATCGAGCTTTCCACATGCGTAGGAATGCCACCACACTCATAGGATCAAGGTGCAGCTGTAGCTCCTAAAGCGGAGGGAGGGGAGTAGATCAGACCCACCAGCAAGAGGTCCAGGACAGAACAACCCATTAATTTGCTGCACCTGTATTCATGAGGGTGGTATGGATACAGTTTTACCCAACTGTACCAATGAACCGGCACAATGCAGAAGTCTACTCTTTAGTGCCTGCATGCACACATCACCTCCTGCACAGAGATCGATGTTTGGCGAGTCCAAACACGCATTCATTGTACAGTGACACTTGTTTTTAAGGGGGCAGCCAAAACTTCACCAGGCGGTGGGTATGTGGGTATGTGTGTGTGTGTGGGGGGGGGGGGGGGGGGAGCACCACATACATTATGTTAAAGTGAAGTTGGCAGACATGCAACAATTGCAACACACACACACACACTCACGAGATGTGACAGATCCTGCTCGCGTTGCAGGTACGGCTCATTCTCCGGAACGTCATAGTCCAAACTCTGTGTGTTGTGCAGCAACAACAACAACAACGACAACGACAACGACAACGACAACAACAACAACACAAGAGCACATCAAAACACTCACGCACATACACACACATAAACACACTCACACGCACACGCACACACACAAACACACACGCCACGATGGAAACCAAAATAACCTAAATTTATGCTACCGTGCTGAGAGATTCATACAAACATACAAACATACCAAAAGCCAATGTACTAAACAGGAGATATTACGTTCTGTTGAAAGAACTGGTCGCGTACCTGTGAGTGCGTAAGCTATGGAATGTGGAAACGGTTGCAGTCTAAGCTAGTACACATCGCAGTTTGTCCGGCAGGAGCGGGCTCCCACCCCAATATGGCAACTTCCACATGCCTCGCACACAAGGCAAAGTCAATACAGTTTCAACCACACTGGCCGAAGATTATAGAATCACAAATCACAGTTTTACAATATTGCCTAGTGCGGTGGTATAAATTATGTACTTGGGTAGTACAGGATCAGTGCATTGTGCAAAGAACTTACCTCAAACTTGGATAGTAAGCGATGAAAGCTATTAGCCTCCTGTGCTTGAATCTAAACACACACACACACACACACACACACACACACACACACACACACACACACACACAAGCGTGCGTGCACACACACACACACACACACACACACACACACACACACACACACACACACACATGCAAACAGGAGCAAAACTTGACACTGATGAATACTGATAGATAAGCATTTAGACACATCCTAATCTTCTTTAGACAGACAAACAGACAGACAGACAGACAGACAGACAGACAGGCAGACATCAAAATGCTCACCCGAACTCTGGCACCACCTCGACCTATGTAATAGTCTTGGTTGCCTCTCTGATATGTCTGGACACACACAAAACACAACATGCAAATGAGTTCATTCATATGTGAACTTATGTGATCAGGCAGTACATGGCAAGCAGTGTGACTCACACCTCAGCGGTTATCCGAACACCAGAATGACTGGCACTTTTGTCTACCAGGTATCTTTGGGGGGGGGGGGGGGTTACTGGAAATAATACTCTTCGTTTTTCACTGTGAAGAGTGTGTTGTGACTTTGGCGAATCTGTGCCTGCAGTCTGGCTTTCAGTGTTGTGGAAATTATGATTTTATCCTGTACCACCAGTACAATGTCATGTATCTCTCGCCTTTCCCTATCAAACCGTATGCCAATCAGAATCGTGGACATTTCAAAGCCGTGGACAATTCAGTCACGGACAATTTAAAGTCGTGGAAATTTCAAAGTCACGGACATCAAGCGAAGGTCCCTGGTTCGAGTCCAGGCGGTGGCAGTCATTTTTCCTCCAGATGTTTTACCCTTTTTCAACTCCCTCAACTAAAGAACCATACAAAGTCCCAGGCAGGGCAGTGCCGGGTCCCCGGACTACGCCGCATCAACAAGGTGAGAGAGTATGAATGTACATCAGGGGTGTCACAGGGCAGTGAGGAGTGATACAGCAGGGGTGTCCCTCCCCCTTGGGGGGGGGGGGGGGGACCGGAATATTCGGCTAACAGAGCACGTTTCAGTGCTCCACAAGCGCTCTGGGCAGACCATCCTGGACAAAAGGCGGTATGAACATGGTCATACTGGTCGTGCGGTGTGTCACGCCCCTGTACATATTCAACACCGCCCCCGGGGATAGCCGAGAGCACTCACTCCGTGTTGACGACGCTCCGGTATGCTTTCCACCAAGCCAACCACGTCACTCGATGACGCAGACACATCGCCAAAGTATGCACTCGAGTCGCCCATGTGTACATCTACAGGCAAATCTACGTTGGCCAGGTGTGCACTCGAGTTGTCTGTAGCCACATCTGCGCTGGCAGCCATGTTTACACTCGAGTTGTCTACAGGCAGATCTACACTGGAAGCCATGTGTACAGTCGGGTCGTGTGGCGTGGGGGTCAGATCTAGGGGCAACAATTCCAAGGTGGACGGAGATGAGTGTGGTATGGTGCAGGGCGAGTTTTCAGAGGGATAAGGGGGCCAGCCAGCAAAGGAAACAAACGGATTCACTCTGGACGTGGCCGTGTCTCCCCTCACGACATGCACATTGCGATTATCTGATCGGACTTCTGGTGCAGGGCTGCACTGCCTCAGTTTGGACGTGCTTTCCTCTGCCTCTGGCTCTGGCTCATGCACGTCCTGCTGTTGCTGCTGTTGCTGCTGCTCCTGCTGCTGCTGCTGGTGCTGCTGTTGTTGCTGCTCCTGCTGCTGTTGTTCTTGACATGTGTCTGCATTGGTATCGGAGCTACATGCCGTTGGCTCAGGCGCATCACTTCTTGCAGAGGTACCTTCTACCGGATCATTCGTGGCTTCCTTCGTTTCGGAACTGCTCTCCTTCGCCTCGCCGGTGTCCTCTTTGGAATCAGACTGACCCGCTGCCACTGACTCGGATGCATCCGCTTCCTCGTCAGTCTCCCAAAGCAGCACTTCAGAACTCATCTTCACCACAACAGCAGTTGCTGGCTTAACTGCGCCGGAGTCAAAGGGGTGGAATCGACAGCAGGTCCTAGCCTTAGTGCGGACACTGCGAGGACTGACGATGCAGTATTTCACTCTTCGGGCCTGGCCGCGGGTAGATTATAGATGTCACGAGCCGAACAATTCGGTGTCCTGTCTTTCTCTAGCACTGCACGATACAAATAACACTAGTACTACTGGACTTTAACCAGTTCTGGAATCGGTCGTGTTACAAATAATTCGAACTTCGAGACTAGGAGCAAATTTGCCAATTGAACACACACAGGGAGGCCCACAGATAGGACGTGAACGGCTTAGAAAACTTTCACAAGATGCCATGGAGTTGCAACAAAGAGTCACAAAGAACGATAAAATACTCTCCAAGGAGTCACGAACAAACAAACCATCTCCTGTTCTGACCGAAAGCAAGGACGCAGAATGGTGCAGGTCCCAACTAAGCACAAAGTTACCCTGCATGCCAGCGTGAGGCTTGATACATACATAGCGCTGATTTTTACAAACATACCGCAGTGCACGCCTTGCGCTAATTCAACTGCCAGCAAGGCGCGAGGTTCAGCACTGCAGCGCTATTTCTCAAGCGGCTTCACGTATGCAAGTACACTCGCGTGTATATGGCGAGCGGGCGTGAAAAGCAACTGGAAACAGGGCAGTGCTGGTGCGCGCCGTAGCGAGTGCTAACTTCACGCGGAATGCGTGTGATGAATGTAGTGCAGTGCACTGATGTTTGGGCATACTGCGGCGCGGCGCAGAGGAAACTGGGAACGTTAGCGCCGAATCTGCAAATAGCGTCACAGAGTCACCACCATCAGCACCACCACAAACACCACCACCACAAGCACCACAAACACTCCCACCGGCACCACCACCACAACAAATATCAGCAGCAGCGATGCTGGTGATAGCAACAGCAGAGGCACTAGTGAAACAAGCTGCATTCAATCAGGCTGCAGCAGCGGCCACAGCAGCAGCTCTTTCTTGCTCTTTCCTTTGTGTTGGTTTGTTTTTATCACTATCGATTACTGTACACAAGAGAGATTGGAAGCTGCGTCGCAACTCGAGAGTTTCACGTATTACTACGATCATCAGGCAACTGAAATTAGAGCACTCAATCTATTTCTTCTTGCCGGTACAAGAGGCTTTAGCAGCAGCAGAAGCAACAAGTTAACACAGTCAAGTACTTACACCTTGGCTGACGGTCTGGAACGACGACTCGACCAGGCCGTGTCCGCTCAGGCTCACGCCGCGAGTCAATCGTGTCGGTGGCAGCATTGCCGCAGTGTCTTGTGCTGGTAGCGGCATTGCCGACGACGACATGTCCGGATAGGGGATCGTACGTAAGCTTCCGTTACCAATGCTACCGGCCATGGCAGAGGTGCTTGCGTTGGAGCTGTGAGCTGTTTGCTCGCCGCCACGCGGTGTGGTCATGTAGCTGGAATTCATCGACGCGCTGGATTGATAAGAAGATTGTGCTGCCGGGCGTAGCGGAGAATTGAATCTTTCCTCTGTTGACAGAAAGAGAAGAGACAGCCCAGGTCATGTGTGAACTATCAATGCATCAAGCGTCGTTTGTGCAGTAAACCCTCCACACGATACTCACACAGCACACTGGCTCTGTCCACTGGACATAGAGCACATAATATGCAGCCTGAGGACCTTAAACCACCATGTCAAAACCTCAACACAATGTAGAAGTAACAGTGATATTTGTCTAAAACGACCACTCAAGGTACCTTCAAAACGTGGTCTATGTTACCAGGTTAACAGGTGGTCTCCTTATCCAGGTGGTCTCTGTTACCAGGTGGTTTCTGTTACCAGGTGGTCCATGTTACCAGGTGGTTTCTGTTACCAGGTGGTCCATGTTACCAGGTGGTATAATTATGTTACCAGGTGGTCTATGTTACCAGGTTACCAGGTGGTCTCCTTATCCAGGGTCATTTGATTGGAATTAGCAGCCCTTGATCCTGGCTTCAGTGGTCTTCTAGGGCAGGTAGTCGCCCTATCCAAGTGGTCCCCTTGACAGGCTTTCCTGTACGTAGTAGACTCAGCGGAGGACGTTCAGTTTGGTTGTAACTCTGAGTTTCATGCCGCTAGGCAATCATCCGATAACTGGCCTGCAACTCCGAGCTATAGTCATCCGAACGTTGTGCGCTGAGTCTGCGATGTACTAAGCTCTGCCTCTGGCATTGAGCACTCTCTGAAGCTTGGGAATCAACGGATTTGCACTGTACTGTAGAAATTTATAAATCCCCAGATGACAAGGCATCTCCGACATCGAATTTTGTTCTCCACAATAATTAAATTCTCCACAACACAAGTGCCCACCTTATGTAACAACAATTTGTTTGCTCAGAGTAGGTTTCCTCCTCCACAATGTGATCATGGTATACCGTAAGCCGTGTTGGTTACAAGCAGCTGCCTTGGTGAGATAGCTAGTTTGGCTGGCACTCCCCATGCATCACGTACTGGCACACACGCATGCACGCGCGCGCGCACGCACTCACACACACACACACACACACACACACACACACACACACACTTCGGTACACATAAAGACTACTCACCCACGTTGATAGTGGTCAAGCTGTGAGTGGACGCGCCATGACGACTACTCTGACTGCCATGGCGCGGAAGCAGATGCGTCCGCTCGTCAGCCTCGCCGTCGCTATAGGAACCAGATATGTATGGCTGCTGTCGTTCTCCACCTCCTCGGCTTCGGCGCTGCGGGAAATGTCCTGCAAACAAGCGGCGAAACAAATGAACACACATGAAGCACATGGCCGGCCTGGAGTGCAGTGATGGTCTCTGCTTCTATTGGCAGCACGTCTGTAAATATTTGTGTATTTTTATTAATGGTACACCTCCGGATACGTCAAGCGTCTGACATAATCGAGCTAGGATGAAGGGTGAGCGCGAACCCTGGACTTTTGAATCGGAGTCACACTGTCTGGATGTACAGTGCAGGTCAATGAAACCCGGGGGCGGGCAATGAAACCCGGGGGCGGGCAATGAAACCCGGGGGCGGGCAATGAAACCCGGGGCGGGTCAATGAAACCCGGGGGCGGGCCAAAATTGCAAGTCGACCGACACTGTACAATACGAACATACGTACATATACATGCATGCGATTTCGTCGTCCAGCACAGCAAGCTACGTTCGTTTCAGAGGGAGGAGGTCCGAGTACGAAACGAACGATGATCGTTTCAGGGACAACAATACACCTTAAAAGCCTGCACAAAGTGTAGAACTGTATTAGTTGAGCACTCTCATATGGTGTTTGCTTTATGCAGAGGCCACTGACTTGTCAGTTTGAGCACTCTGGCAAGGTAGGTTCGGGTCTGGTTTAAATCTGGCTTTGGAAAATTTATTTTTCATTGCTATCAGGTTCGGCCTCATTTTCTCTGTGCTGCGCTGATGAGTCCACAAAGGACGAAATATTTCTATCCGCAGATTGAGTAATTAAACAAAATTATTCCAATCGGCAAACATTTCCAGTTGCAAATTGGTCTGTGCTCGCAAATTGCAAACCAACACCAGCGCAAAAGTTTACAATTTACGGTGGATGATGCGGAACGCGTACATGTAGCGCTTCTGACCATGCACACAGGCTGAGCTCTCACAGCCGCAGAACCTACATGCACACAGGCTGAGCTCTCACAGCCGCAGAACCTACATGCACACAGGCTGAGCTCTCACAGCCGCAGAACCTACATGCACACAGGCTGAGCTCTCACAGCCGCAGAACCTACATGCACACAGGCTGAGCTCTCACAGCCGCAGAACCTACATACACCCAGGCTGAGCTCTCACAGCCGCAGAACCTACATACACACAGGCTGAGCTCTCACAGCCGCAGAAACTACATGCACACAGGCTGAACTCTCACAGCCGCAGAACCTACATCCACACAGCCTGAGCTCTCACAGCCGCAGAACCTGCATACACACAGCCTGAGCTCTCACAGCCGCAGAACCTACATACACACAGGCTGAACTCTCACAGCCGCAGAACCTACATACACACAGGCTGAACTCTCACAGCCGCAGAACCTACATACACACAGGCTGAGCTCTCACAGCCGCAGAACCTACATACACACAGGCTGAACTCTCACAGCCGCAGAACCTACATGTACACAGCCTGAACTCTCACAGCCGCAGAACCTACATACACACAGGCTGAACTCTCACAGCCGCAGAACCTACATACACACAGGCTGAACTCTCACAGCCGCAGAACCTACATACACACGTACACTCGCTGTTCAGTGTACTACAGGCAGACCTCGCTTAACCGCACACATCCGTTTTCCACAAAAAAATATCTGGATAGGTGAGGGAACCGGATAATCGAACACACATACTGTATGTATGCATGACATATGCCGTTAATCGGTACCCAGCGATTTTCTTCCGGATTAAAGAGGATTGGATAATCGAGGTCCGACTGTATTTACCCACTACATGGTATTGTGAGTGGTGACATATAGCCACACCTACCGTTAGCACCGTAAATCATGCCATGCAGCGGCATTCAATCTTCTGTGCACGGGTTATCAGTTGTACGTTGTATTGTTAAACTACAGAACTCTCAACAGGCCCAGCATTTCTACAGGGAACCCTAAGAAAGATTTGGTCTGTGATACAAATTGAGGACTAGATGCGGCTTGACGGCATCCGTGCGCAAGTACCGTAAAGTACCGTTGATCCGCCCCCCCCCCCCCCCCCCCCCCCACGCCATGTCGCTTCCCAGCTGGGTTTTCGGCAGGGGGCGGGAATTAGATCAAGGCTGTCAAGTGCAGTACGATGTACAACAACGTAGAGGATCAGACTCGATGTGCTGGATTGTGCACATTTTGATCCTGGATTGGCAAGTATTGTGTACAGCAGTGCATGCGCCGGTTCAACATCGTATTTCGTTGTATGCGCCGAAGTCGCTTCACAAGGAGAAAATCGACAGGGGGCGGGAATTAGAGAGGGGGCGGATCAACGGTACTTTACGGTACATTCCACTTGTCCGCAACCAGAAAATAAAATTGTCTGCATGCGATAGCGGGAGAAAACGCGGACCAGGGACAATGCTGCAAGCATTTGTCCACACGTAAGGTATTCACACTCAGCTGGGTCCAAGCCAGTAGATTTCAGGTCGAATTATTTGGTGCACAGTGTTGACAATTTTTTGCAAAATTTGCCAAACGAAACCATGACAGCAATGGCGGCTGGATTGTGCATGTTCACACAACCACGACTCATGTGTTACGATTCGAATACTTGTACATTCCGTACAGTATCGGTGTGCTACTACGTCGACTTAGATTAAAGGAGTACGGTAACGCCAGTCACACCGCTATCACTAGTCATCATGCACAGCATCACCTAGCTAGTTGCCGCTGCAACGGCGATCAGCTGATTCGATTTACGACACGCATGCACAGTGTGC